CATCGTCAAATAACTACGCCAAAGCTGCCCAGTCGAGATGAGGATAGATAAGCAAAATGAATATTCGACATCTAATTATAATTCGACTCTTGCAACTCAAATGAGCTCTCAGTGAGGAAAGGACAGGAAAAAATAAATAAAAAAACGAAAAAAAAAAAGAAATTATAATAATAAAAACAACCAGAAAGACTACAAAAACACCAAAAATGTTATCAAATACTTCTGGAAAATTATTTTGTTCTATTTACTTTGAAATCACTCACAGGCGGTATTACTGAATGAGAGAGCTTTTGCTGGGAATTTTGATGTTTTGCAACGTTTCCGTATTCCCCAATCCATAATACATCGACATTTTTCTCTTTTACATGTTTAACTTTACTCATCTTTTAATTGTGGCTGTAAGCCATTCATTATTTAATGAATTTTTTGTACTTTTTTTTTAAATTTTTTTTAATGATTTTTTTCTTTTGATTTGGGTTATGATTTTAATTTTTATAATGTTTTTTGTTTTTTTGTTTTTTTTTTATTAAGTTTGATTACTATTAATTTAGAATGTGAAAGCTTTATGAGGGGATTATAAAGTATTAAATAGGTTTTGCTATACTGATTATAGCTACGGGAGAGCGAAATATCTTCATTCTAAAGCACGAAACCATCATCACGTTGACTACGTACAAGAGGGAAATTAATAATAAAATCAAACAAATAACTTCTAAACCTCAATAGTAGAATCGACAACGCCAACATCCTATCGCAACATCAACCTCCCTCAGCTATCTCTTCCCACTTTTGATGGTGAATCCCGACAATGGAGAAAGTTTTGAATGGGTTCAGTGTGGCTGTACATTCCCAGGATATCCCACAAATCCAAAAAATGAACTATTTAATTTTCTGTTTAAAAGGTTCAGCACTATAATTAGTAGGAGGCTTTGACTTGCCCTAGAAAATTACGAAATTATGCGCCAAATATTGACCAAAAAAAAAAACCAAAACTCGTCGACAATAATGAAATTACTGTAAAATGAACTACAGTCAATCAAACGAAACGATAAGGAATGGATTGAAATTGTTGAAAGAATGGAAAAAGAATCGAAAATAAGATAATGCTAGGAGAGAATTTAGAACATTCCAGCATTGAAAATACAATGGAGAGTAGACTATCTCGATGGATACTCGACAAAGTGCATCATCAAAAAACGATCGGACAGTCCATGGTCAATAATGAAATTAAGGAAATTCCTCCGAAATTTAATCAACATGAACGGACGAGTAAGAAATCAGTTCTCATTTACCCTTATGGAAAGAAAATACACCTCATACAGGAAAGCGAATCCAAAAAATCATAAAGAAACTTCTGCATTGGTGACTATCTAGAATGGAGGTGAGATTTCTCATTCCTCGATAAAAAAATAGTAAAACCAAACAAAAAAGACAGCACATATTTTGTAGTAAAAACCATTGGGACAGTGAATGTCAAACATTTCATCAATGAATTCTCGACTGAAACGCCTCAAAGAAATAAAGAGATACACTATTTGCATGAAATCAACTCACCAAGGTAAAGAATGCAGCAGAAAGATAAGATGTTTCTACTGCAAAGCTTCTTACAATAGTGCTCTATGTAACAAAAAATTCTCGACACATGCGATCAAAACAACATATCCAAATTGGAATCAGCAAAGGAAGAAATGCATAAAATGGTGGACTATTCAACCAACCAGGATAAGATAATAATGTCGCAAACAAGTACAGTTACGAAGGTGGAAGGTATGGAAATCCTACTATTATGGAAAGAAATAACTGTCTTTAATCCATCATTACCATATCATAGAGAAACAGCATTAGCATTATTTGATGTAGGTTCGCAATTATCTTTTATATCTAAGAAACTAGCAAATCGATTAGAGTTGACCAGGCAAGCAGCCTGACATATTGATTGGAGCAGATTACTTCATCAAATTCGTGGAATTCAAGTAAAATTCAAGAACTAAATTTTGGATTCCTACTACTACAAATAAAAGTGGGACCGATGATCACTGGAAGTGGAGATATCGACAAACTTTATCAAGCGAATAATACCAAACGGTTATCGAGACCAGTCTTCTTGCTCAGAATTAGAAATTTTTTTGAAATTAAAAAAAAAAAATTTGGGAATCAATGGCCAACCTAATGCTAATGACGATGAAGAGGTGTTAAAACAATTCAGGAAGTCAATAATCAAGTGTAATAGAAGATATAGAGTTCGTTGGCCATGGAAAGAAATTAAAGGCAAATTAAGCAATAACTACGGTCTATATGTCTTAGTCGTCTGAAGAACCTCATCAAACGATTACAAAAAGAGTCAATTCATCACAACAGAAGCAAGAACAATTGGGTATAATTGGAAAAGTGGATCCGGATTATATGGTAGGCATTATTCATTATCTGTATTAACTCCTAATAAGTCAACTACAAAAATCCCAGTTGTTTATGACACTTCAGCACATCTTAGAGATTCTAAAAGCTTAAATGAAGTCTTGTACAGAGGACCTATTTTGCTACCGAATCTAGTGGATGTATTACTGCGTTTTAGAATGATGGAAATATATCAAAAAAGATATCAAAAAAGCATTTTTACAATAGAATTAAGAAAATAACGAATTAGCAGCAGAAATAAGAAAAAATATTTATGTTGATAACATAATTTTATCTGCGATGTGTACAGAGGATGCCCTGTTAAAGTACGAACAAACAAAACTTATCTTTGACAGAGCAGCCATGAATATTAGAGAATTTATTTTGAATGATTTAAAATTTAGTGAAAGATTACCCGACTACAACAAGGCTAATTCTAACAAAGGTAGTTTTCTTGGTATAAATTGGATTTATGAATTGAATGTAATTCGTATTATACTTAAACCATGAAATGAAAAGAAAATAACTAACAAAATTACCTTGTACTTTGTTGCTTCACATTATGGACCCTCTAAGGTTTTTAGTCTCCTTAATTATTACACTCAAATTATTTCTTCAACTTTTACAAAAACAAAACAAATCGTAGGACAGTCTTTAAACTATCAGGAAGAAAAACAATAGGAATCAATGATACAAAGTTGGTCAAAAGATTATAATATACCTACCTCGATTTGCAATAAACCCATCAGATCAATTAGAAAAACATGTATTTTCGGATGCTTCAAATCAAGCATACACAGCAGCAGTACATGTTCTTAAAATCAGAAAATATGATAAGAATTCAACATTTCTCATTCATGCTAAATCACATATTACTCCAATTAAACAAATTATCGTACCTCGTTTGGAATTACATTCAATACTAATTGAGGTAAGAGCTACACAGTTTGTATTGAAGTAACTAGAGTTATAAGATGTACCTGTAACTCTTTGATCTGATTCTAATTGTGCTCTATTTTGGATCAAAAATTATTAAGACACTGTTTCATTCCACAACTCATTGTATCAACGGTACTATACATCAGTGATGTTTACAAGTTTTGTATTCAAGAATTGCTGCTGAAAAACAAAAAATGTATATTTGAAATAATCTAATAAGGAAAATTGACGTTTTACATTATGTTATCAAAGAATAGCAATATTCATTGTTTTGTTAGCAGGAATTTGTGATTTCTTCGTAGATTTAATACAAATTAAAAATTAAACGCAATTGGTTGCAGCTCAAAACATCGTTGCAGTTAAAAACATTAAAGCAAAACATAAGAAAAATTCTTCAAAAATTTGTCTAAAGTTTGTGAAAGGGTGAAATTGTATGGTTAATGTTTGTTTTAACAGCTTAACATTGAAGAAATGGAATGAGGATGTGGTATGGAATTACTACAAATTGGTAATAGAAAACGGCAAATGTTACATGTTGTAACTGAATCAGCAAAAGTTTGTTGACTTTTTGCAAACTATAACTTTTGAATAGAAAGAACAATTATCATCAATAAAAACGAAAAAGGGAAAAAAGCACTTAGTAAAAGTAACCAAAATGTGTTGCATTTACAAATGGATCTCACATTGGACAGATAATAAGAATGCTGTTTTAAGAGAGTTGGAAAAGTGAGCAAATAAAAAAGTACTGAAAATTATTGATGACAGCGCTTAAACTGATTGTACATGTAATACTTGGAAAAAGAAGAAATTACTGAGAATTGGTAAATGTCGTGAAGATAAGTTGACTTTATGGGTTAGTGGAATATGCAGAGCGGGAATACTTAATACTTGAAAAGAAAAATAAGACGATTGTGGACGATAGTGACTCCTCCTTGATCACCATTAAAAGGTCCTTATGTTGTTTAATCTTAGGTTTATATATGTTAAGAGTTGGGAATGATTTACAATAGACTTACAATGAATTACCATAGATATTAAACCGGATGTTCATTTAAATACAAGATAACAAAGATTAGTCTGTGAATTACCGTAGGTATTAAATTCATTTGCACACAGGAGATAGAGAAAAGAAAAAATGAGATTATTTGTGAATGTGAGAACAAATTGTTAACACTTGATTAACAAATTTTTGGCATATGACTAATTGGAATATTGCGATATTGAATTCGCGACAGTAACAACGAAGTCAAACATGTTGAAATTGAATCAATAAGGATTTATTGACATATTGCAGAATATGACCTTTGTATAGAAAGAATTTTTAAAGCTTTCAAAATTCCAAGCACATTTTTAGAGCAATTTGGAAACATAAAAGCAGATAATATGCTTAAAAAAAATTAAACTACATTTTATCTGAAGTATACAAAAGAATGCAATTGCAAATCATTGATATCTTAGCAAATAATATTTATCCATTCCTATAAATAAAGTCAAAGACCACCATGACAAGAGAATGAATGGTACCACTATAAATTTCCATTCTCAAATGATCCTAAACTTTGGAAACACCAATTTGTGCTGTAGAAAATTCGATGATAGGTTCTGTCTATAATATTGTATTATTTCATGTTCAGATATTTATTTAGGCACTTCATTGATATTTTAGGATGATCAATGAAACAATCACAGCTGCACTGCTTCTTTTTGCGAGTTTTCAATTTGTACTGATATTTGGAGAAATGTACGTTGGAGAACTAAAAATTTCTGAAATAACAAATATTTTTTGAACAAACTATTCAAATAGCTGTTGCTAATGATGTCATTGCTAGCATCTTACCATCAACAAAAACACTTTTTTTTTTTTGTTATATTTTTAATTTTAACGCTCTTAAATTTTTTCTTCAATAAACTTTTCCAGTTCGTCGACGGACACTGCGCAGTTCGACTTCGCTGTTGATTTGATAAAAGAAATAGCACAGAACGATGAATCAACGATTTCATCCCCTGCTTCAATATCAACCGCACTCTTTATGCTTTATCTCGCAGCTGATGGTGAAACCAAGCAAAAATTGTCGGAAATTCTTGGAAGAAGTAATTACAATTTTGAAGGATACTTTAACCGAGCAGTTTAATCTACTTTTAGGTCATTGGAAAGTTTCTGCTTGGCACTAAAAATGCCATATTGATCAAATTTCATAAATATTTAACTGATTCTTTTAGATGCAAGGAAAACACAAATTCAGGAATATTATGGTAAATTATTGGCAAGTAGCGATGGTACAAAGAGTAAAAGTTATATGCTAAATATAGCAAATCGTTTATATGTACCAAAAGAATTTTCAATAAAGCCGAGCATTCCCCATATATTTCAATTTTATTTTGGCGAAACGTTACATAGATTCAATGATGGACGAAGTGGTCAACTTATTAAGGCATGATTAATGATAAAAAGTAAAAATGAATATGAAGAAGGGATAAGATAGTTGTTGTTATTGTTGTTTTTTAAATTTATTTATTCCTATTGCTATCTCCAGAAAATTCAATTTTGTTCATTTGATCTGCGATTTTCGATTAAGTGCCGCAACATAATTCTTTTTTTCAGGGAATTAATAGATGGGCTTCGAAAAACACTAACAATAAGATTACGGAATTGGTAGAAAGGACCACAGTTAATTCAGAAACCAAAATGCTACTGCTGAACACAATTTACTTTAAGGGTGTTTGGAAGAAACAGTTTTCCACTGATTCTCAAAAGAAGTCGAATGGGGTAGACTTTTTGTTGAATATTAGAATTAGAACAATCTATCAATCTTTTTTTTTCTTTTCTGCATTTATTGTTTGTTCCAAATATATTTGTATGTTAAGCGATTACATCGTCTTCAGATGCCAATGATGCAATTAAATGCAGTACTGAAGTATTACGAAGACAAATTTGTGCAAGTAGTCAAGCTTCCTTATGTCGGGGATAAAGTAGAAATGGTAATCATATTGCCAAAAGCTCGTTCTGGATTATATAAGGTTCGCGAAGAGATGACAGGAAGGGATTTAAGACGGTACATTGAAAATGCTGTGCCAACTAAAGTAGAGGTAAATTACTATTTTTTCTTTTTTCAAACAAATTACGAGAAATCATATGGAATGATGTGTTATGATAAGGAATCAATTCTGAGTTGCCATTTGTCCGAAAAAACTCGTAAAGTAAGCACTTGCAGCAAATAAAGCAATTTCAAAGTGATCAGCGTGAAAAAATTTCTTCCTTGTCAAATTAATTCCTATAAATGTGTTTCATTAGCTGAAATTCTTGTATTTTAAACATTTTGAGAACCTCTTAGTAGATAATTTGTCTAGTTTGTTTCATTTTTAGTTACAATTACCAAAGTTTGGGTTGAAACAAGAATTAGATTTGGCAAATATTTTGAAAAAGCTTGGCATGACAAATATTATCAGCAAAAAAGCCAACTTCAAAGCACTTACCGACAGTCCAATTTCCGTTGGCAATATTATACATGGAGCTTCATTTGAGGTTTGCATGATCACGTTTTTTCGTTCAAAAATTAGCGGGTCCAAGAATTAAAAACACAACTGTTGGACTTTGCTTACTGTCGAGTATTTATAGATAAATGGAAAAGGGATGGAAACAACAATGGAAATCGGATTTGGTTCTCCTGGATTCGTATTTCGAAAGAATATAATTTTCAGTGCTGATCAACCATTCTTGTTTTTTGTTGTTAATAAGTCTCAAGATGTTCTGTTTGCTGGCCAATGTTGTAAGAAAACAAAAAAAAATTTGAGAAAAAGTTAAAACATCTGATATCTAAAAAACCATTATTTTAGATTCTTAAACGTCTTAACCTATATCTCTCGCTTGTAATTTTGCTTCGTTCTATTATTTTTTTCACTTTTTGAAAACATTGAATCTTTAATGATCTTTCTGATCCATTTATATGTGTGCATGCATAAATAAATTTGTTCAATGCCACTGACAGAGCATGAAAATGAAAAAAATAAGAGAAATGATGATCTAATAGACTGCTGATTAGGCCATAACTAATAAATAAGAAAACAAACTATTATTTCAGCGTTTAGAGATAGATATGTGCTTGAGTAAAATTGCATTTGATCCAATTCAGTGTTTAAGTAAATCTATTCCATAGCATTTTCTAATTATCATTTGTCGCACCTGGAGATTAAATTCTCATAATTACAAATATTTTCAAATTGTCATCATGTTAAATTAAATTATCATAATATTATTCAAATTACCATAAAGTTATTCAAATAATCAAATTTTTTTTAAGATAACAATCTACACATGTACGTGTTTCAGTAGTGTTTATAATACTTAAATCCAAGAAAAACCCAAGGTTTGGCAATCAAGGAAAGGCATATAACTGCTTAGTTGAAATAATTGAGTGAGCAAAATTGACGTTTCACATCATGTTGCAATATTCATTGTTTCGTTAGTTAGTTTTTATAATTTATTTGTTGATGTAGTAACATATATGACAGCAATTAAATATGAAGCTCAAGTAAAAGTGAAATTATATGGTCAATATTTGAGAATTTTAATAGGCTAACATGAAAGAAATGCTATGTGATGCAATATAAACTGGATTGTGATGAAATTTTATAACCAACAACTACTCATGTTTTCCTAAATTTTATTTACAATCAAATAACATTTTTTGTTTATTGGATCAACTGACTATATTTTATTATCCGTTTCAACCTTTACACCGTATTGCATTGCTAATTGGTTAATAAATTTTCATTATGGTAAAAAAAATTGGATGAATCCAATTTTGATAAAGATTGTATTTTCTGATATCATGGTGCAAAGGCATGAACAGAAGAATTACTCGAGATTACTAAATGTTATCCACTAACTTTTGTACTACCAATTATAATATTACATTTCTTGAAACTTATCACCATTCAAGAATTTCAATTTGCTTATTCCGGGGTAATACGAAAGGCTCATTTAAATGGGAGAAAGTAACAGAATCACAAACTTCTTGCGTGAAAATCCCACTACAGTGTACAGTTCAGAATCTTGTCAACATCATTTTGTCACAAGCTGTATGTTGTAGATAACAAGGAGGATTAAAAATGAAGTTAGAGAATTGATAAGAAAACACAAACTCCAGACAGTAATTGATGAAATAACATTTTCTTAATGTCTTCATGCCCAATAAATTATGCATGTTTTTTTTTTTTGCGACTAAAATTTGGACTGAAGGAGAATTTGAAATTATTAATAAGGCTGTCAACATGTGCACACCTATTTCTTAATAGATTTATTGTAAAAAAATCAAGTCGCATCAAATGTCAACATTTTGCAAAGCTTGCAATTCAAAGTATTATTCAGAGGATCATTTCACATATTGACCTATGAATAGAACAGTCTTCAAATTGTCAACAATTGCAAAGAGGAATGGATGATCAGCAACAAAACGACGCTGCGTACCCATACGATCTATTAAATCAACTACTGTAGCAGCCGTTGATTCCGTTCCTTTTTCATCTATCTGTAAGGTAAAGAATAAAATTTACAGTTTCCAAAAAATTTCAAAATATTCAGAAAGAAACGATTGTTAATTTCCCATTAAAAGAAAGTTCACATTAACCTCAATGAAGCCTGCATGCATAACTTTGCCAATAGAAACTGAAACTGTATTATTTACTAGCTCTCCAAAACTGCCTGTTCCACTGAAAACATCTGTGATGCCAATTTTTTGTAGAGCTTCTTTCAGATCTAATTTTTCTTTCACTTGAAATTTTGGTATAATGACCTGAAGTAACTCTGAAATGACAGAAAGAACGGAATAAAATAAAAGTGGCAAGCAAAAATAAGCAACAAATCCATTGGAAATGCTTTTTTTTTTTTGTCACCCATAATTTTATGCACTAATTTGTTTAGCGAAGTTAATTACAATTAAATGAATCACTTACGGTAACGTAGTTTTTTTTTGCATCATTAATATATTTGAATAGATCTTCACCCGTTAATTTTGCTAGAACATCAGATAAGCCGAAGCGTGCTTTTGGCAGTATGAAAACCATTTCTATTTTAGGGTGAGTATAAGGTAGTTTGATAACTTGCACAAGATTGTCTTCGTAATAAAGCAATTCAATGTTATTCATCATCATCGGTATCTGAACGAAAAGAAATGGTGATGAAAAAGTGCACATGTATTTATTTATTCAATGTGTAAGCATTCTAAAATAAATTAGAGGCTGCTAATTAACATATTTACTCGTTTCATTTCGTTTTCAGAAATGTGAAATTCTTTTTCTTTGGTCAAAGTCTTCATGAATTGTTTTTTCCAAGTGGCTTTGAAGTAAATTGCATTCATGAGCAAAATATTTGTATCCTTGTTGATACTGTCCTCTTTTATTAAATCTTTAATTTTCTTGTTTGTTTTACGCGAAATCCATTTATTGATTTCCTAAAAATATATTAAAATTGAACATTAGCGCAGTGTTTGGTTATTTCGTTCGTTGCAAATTCATTAATTGGTTTCGTGTAGATTTAATCTAGTACATATATATTATTTCAGCCTCACTTCTCCATCTTCATATCATTTTTGCATTTCGTCAATGAACATACCTTAACAAATTCCTTCCTCTTCTCAAAATTGAATTCATGCATTGTTTCGTTGTAATACATTCGGAGCATTCTTTTGAAGCTGTCTTTTACAGAAAATCCCTCCCTTATGCAAAAACGATTTGCTACATTCAACTTGTATTTTTTGCTTTTTATGTTTGCGCTATCAGCTATTTGATTAGCGAAGTATTGTCGAAGATCAGATGTCCTTGAAGCTGAAAATTAAAATTAGTCAAAATCATTTTATTTCTGAAATATAATATATTCTTCCAATCATAACATTTTAGGCTACTGAAACCTTCGCTGCTTTGGTAATAAAATACAACTCATAAGAAAAAAAATCTTAAATTCAAATATTTTCACTCTATAGTTACTTCCACCAAGAATTTTCTGCAATTGCTCCTTCGTTTTGCCATCCGCTGCGAGGTAAACCATAAACAGTGAAGTTGACACAGAAAGAGGAGATAGAATGGCTGATTTATCGTCCTTCGCTATTTTTTGCATTAAGCTCACCGTAAAGTTAAACAGCGCATGATCTAGCAATGAACTAAAAAAAGATCGTTAATGATGAGAAATAAAATTCTGAGTTTGGAAATGTACTAAAAAAAGTATCATTGATGATGGTTAGACACTTAACAATAAGCTTAATTATTTCATTACTGTGAAATGTCTTTAGGAAAGCTTTAATTTTCTACGTACAGTTCTCCAAATATCGATACAAACTGAATGCTTGCAAATAGAAGTAATGCGGTGATGATTGCATAATTCATCTTTCTGAAATACTAATCTAGTACTCAACCTGCTGAAATAATGGAACACAAATAATGCTCTCGAATCCCGTAAATTTAATTATGAAAGCTTGGAATTAGCTCATAATCGAATATATAAAGCAAGAATTGCTGCTCCGTGGTCCAGCTTCATTTCTACCATCTAAAATAGATTGGAACTACACAAGCCAGCAAAGTGTGGTGTCAGTAAACTGGAAATTATTTATATCACTGAGTTAAGTAAATTATCGATGTTTGCTTGTTATTTTCAACTCGCAACTATTTACTCTTATATTTCATATCTACCCTTTAAGGTTACATATACATTTTGCAGACTGAAAGTGAGTGAATGCATTTATTTGTTTTTTTTTTCATCGTACCCATTCACTTGTGCAGACATTACCAAGATTGTTTTCTGGTCAAATCATTATTATTATGGAAAAGATTTTTGCACTACATTTTTTCAACTCTTGATGTAAGGCAAAATTTACATGAGACAAAATTATTTCATTACTGTTGTTGCTCATAAAAATTTGATTATCTATCAAAACTTCTAAATATTTGCCATGTAATTTCATTTTTCAAAAAATTTGAAAAGTTTTCCCTAAGTTTCACATCCAATAAAATGTTTCAAGCTGCAAGCAATTCTCTGTTTAATTCTTAATTTGTATTAAATCTACGAAGAAATCACAAATTCCTGCTAACAAAACAATGAATATTGCTATTCTTTGATAACATAATGTAAAACGTCAATTTTCCTTATTAGATTATTTCAAATATACATTTTTTGTTTTTCAGCAGCAATTCTTGAATACAAAACTTGTAAACATCACTGATGTATAGTACCGTTGATACAATGAGTTGTGGAATGAAACAGTGTCTTCTTCATATCTTATCAGAAATATTTTGTTAACAATCAAAATGTTAATTTCATACTTCTATCATTGTATAATCATTTCTTTTCATCGCTGAAAACATATGCTAACGAAATTTGATCTTTCAACTTTTTAATATTATAATTTGAAAATATTTACAAATATGAGAATTAATTTTAAATTTCTAGGAAAATTCATTTTTTTCATCTTTTCTGCTGAATTATGCTTTCATTCCTATAGGTCAGGCTTTAAATTCGTACTGAATGAATTTCTTTAGTTCTGATTAAACAAGGTTAATGTTTAAATTAATCAATTTACATTATGTTAATTGAAATAATGTCAAGCGTAAGTTTGAGTATAATTCATTCACACTTTCTTCAGGTGCAACTATCTATGCAACTATCTATCGTGTATCTAGTGGGAGTCCAAAGATATGCTTTTACCGCAGCAGAAATGACAAATATTGTTATTAATTTACTCGAATATAATTACTTGCTTAATATTATTACCCATTATTTTTTCTTTTTTTTTTTTTTTTTCATGTCTCAAAATAAACATGTTAGGAAACAGCATGTTTATTTTGATATAAACCACTCAGTAATATAAATACTTTGTAGCTCAGTCATTTCATTTAGCCAGCTTAGATTTTTACAAACCATTTTAGATAGGTGGGCAAGTAAATTTGGACTGTGGGGCCGGCGATATATATATATATATATATATATATTCGACTATGAGCTAATTCTATATTATATTTGTATTTTAGAAAGATGAATTGTGTAATTATCTCCGCATTATTTCTATTTGCGAACGTTCAATTTGCATTAATATTTGGAAAAATGTACGTCGAAAATTTTCTGACCAGCTAATATTTTAAAAGCAAATAAATAGCCATAGCTGATTTGTCATTATTAGTATCTTACAATCAACAATAACACTTTCTTGGTTATGTTTTCAATTCCAATTTCTTTCACGTCTCTTTTTAACAGTCTTTTTCAGTTCTTCGATTGACTATGCACAATTTAACTTTGCGGTCAGCTTGTTGAAAGAAATAGGACAAGGTGGTAAATCTGCCATATTATCTCCTCTTTCCGTGTCAACCGCACTTTTTATGATTTATCTCGCAGCAGATGAAGAAACAAAGCAACAACTGCAAAATGTTCTTGGAGGAAGTAATTTTTGAAATTTCATTGAAAACTTGCTTTATACAGAAATGTTAACTGCATTAGAATTCCAGTGCTATAATTAACAAATTTTGGAAAGTTACACAAATAAAACATTTCAGCTGCAAAAAAAGCAGAAGTTCGAAAATATTTTGCCCATTTGCTGGCAGTTATTGATGCGAGAAAAAACGAAAACTACACACTGAATATAGCAAATCGTTTTTACGTACAGCAAGGATTTTCTGTAAAGGAAAGCTTTGCCAGAGTACTTAGATTTTATTATGGTGAAACATTACATAGTTTCAGTAACGAACAGAGTCAACAAGTTGCTCAGGTTTGATCTATGATAAAAACAAAGATTAAATGAGTAGAGAAAGATGTAATCAGAAAGGAAAAATGACACAATGGTAGCTACTATCTCTTAAATGGTTCTATTTCTTAGATTCAGCAATTCCAATTGTTTAAAGAATTATTGTCTTTGATTATTGTAAATGACAGCAGTAAAGTTCTCTTCCAGGAAATCAACAATTGGGTATCGCAAAAGACTAATCGTAAAATAACAGAGTTAATAACAGCAGGCGATATCAATAAGAACACTAAAATGTTGCTACTAAATGCAATATACTTCAGTGGTACTTGGGAGACACAGTTTGATGACATGAATACTCATGATGAAATATTTCATATTTCTCAGCACGAAACGAAAAATGTGAGTATCTTCTGGAATGTCAAAATTTGAAGCGGCAAGCTGTTTCTTTCAAAACTCATTTCATGTTGAATGAATTTGTCTGTGCTTTCTCTCTATCATTTCTATCTTCCTAGGTGTCAATGATGACATTACAATCGGAATTCCCGTACTATGAGGACCATTCTGTGCAAGTTATCAAATTGCCTTATATTGGTGAAGAAGTGGAAATGGTCTTCATATTGCCAAAAATACGCTTTGGCTTGCAAAATGTTCTGAGAAATTTAACGGGTCGAGATCTACTTTCATATATTTCTTCAGCTACACCAAACGATGTGTCGGTAAAACATTGTCATTTGCTTTTTCCGATATGCTAATCGATTTGTAATTTTACAGTTTTATTGTTATCGATTTAATGTTCTTCGGCTTTCAGCTAAAATTACCGAAATTCCGTTTGGAAGGGAAAATGGATTTGAAAGAAACTCTACAAAAATTGGTATTGAAGATGCTATCAGTGAAACAGCTAATTTCAGAGAGCTTACTAATGATGCAATCTCTGTAGGCAACATCATGCATAGAGGCTTCATTGAGGTTTGTGAAAATTCTCGCTAAATAAGAATATAATGTAATCTTTTTAATCACTGCTTGCTAAAAACCATAGATTTTGGTTATTCACTTACAGGTAAATGAAAAAGGAACCGAGTCAGCTGCTGCCACGATGCTTGATTTAGTACCTCTCATATTTGCAGTACCTAGGCCATTCATTGCTGACCAACCATTCCTATTTGCAATTGTTAAGAACTTGAACACAATTCTGTTTGCAGGCCAATTTGCCAAGTGATTCTTTGTATAATTTTCAATGTTACGACGTTCATTAGAAAAACCAATCGTTTATAGACTTTGGTAAATTAGTTAAATTTGAATACGCTTACACATTTCTCACAACAACATTTCATTTTCTTTCTTTCAGTCATCATTCGCGTTAAAATACAATAATTACAAATGCAAACTACAATTTCCATCTTAATCTGAGCTCGTGCAAAGTAAATCATTTTATTTATGCTTTTTTCTAATTTTTAAAAAGAACTCAGGAATTCATTGCCTTCTGCTTAAAAGATACGGAGAAGAGTTTAATTAGTTACATAGTTATAGAAAATTTTCTCCTCAGAAAAGGAATTACTGAGGATTCACACTCTCGAAACCGCTAATGCAAAATGGGTGGAATATATCCAACATATTTTGACCTTATTAAAAACGGAAGAAGAAAAGACAAAGTATAGTAAAAGTATGGACGAAGACAAAAAAGGTATTTTAAAACTGATAAAAATAAATGACACTGAGTTAGTACTGCAACGCTTCAAACAAGGCAGAACAAAAGATGAACCAATTCATCAACAAGGCGAGTTCCTTGGTGTTCAATGTATAAGGAATATATTCATCCTAATTACTGTCATATTATTTGGTATAACTAAATGAAACATTTGGTGATATGATGTCAACTGGGCGTATAACTCAACTCTATAGTCATCAGAGCCTAAAATGTATTAGTGAACAGGCATTAAGTATTCCATTTATTTCCACAATAAAGTTATTAATTCTCTTTCCTTTAAAAGTTTCCTCTTTATTGCTCTTCTTAGAATCTTTTTGATAAGCCCAATAATCCGTTTGAACGCCAAATTGCTATGCACACCTCTCTAAAATACTTCGAAATCCAAATCGCAGCTCTAATCCACGAAAACCAGTTGAATTTGTACTGGATCAATTCTTTATCTAACAGGCCACAATAAACAAGTTGAGATAATGAAAAAGTGTTCCATCACCAATTTTAAAGTTGTTAGCAATTATGTCTGCTGACCTTTCTTAATCTGGCAATATTTCAGGTAGTAATAAAAACAACTTTTACAAACGAATTGTTTGTTATACTTTTATCCATATGACTGTTGTTACGAATTCATTTTTCACCATAGCAAACAGGAAAAGTGGTGAAGTTATTAGAAATAATATACCGATTACTTTAATCAAAAAGAGTAGTTCGTGCCTCTTTGCAATGTTTACGACTGTTTTGGTATTCCAACAAAGTTTCGTCCATTATGGAGCTATATTACAGCTCAATCTTTATCCATCTTTTACATATTTAAATTTTAATAAATTTTTTAATTGTGGTTACAAGCCTTTATGAAATTTACTACTTATATTATTCTTGCTAAAACGAAAAAAAGATATATATATATATATAGTTTGTATGATGATAGTTTCTAGCAAAGTAAATCACTTATGCATTTTTTTTTTCAAACTTTTAGATGAAAGAGCTCAGGGGTTCGTTTAAAAGATATGCAGAATAGTTTAATCAGTTACAACAATCTTGAGTTCCAATTTTCGAAACTGTAGTTGTATTGTAATTATTGTTTAAATTAAATTTTTATCATCTTTTGTTCTGCCTTGTTTGAAGCGTTGCAGTACTAACTCAGTGTCATTTATTTTTATCAGTTTTAAAATACCTTTTTTGTCTTCGTCCATACTTTTACTATACTTTGTCTTTTCTTCTTCCGTTTTTAATAAGGTCAAAATATGTTGGATATATTCCACCCATTTTGCATTAGCGGTTTCGAGAGTGTGAATCCTCAGTAATTCCTTTTCTGAGGAGAAAATTTTCTATAACTATGTAACTAATTAAACTCTTCTCCGTATCTTTTAAGCAGAAGGCAATGAATTCCTGAGTTCTTTTTAAAAATTAGAAAAAAGCATAAATAAAATGATTTACTTTGCACGAGCTCAGATTAAGATGGAAATTGTAGTTTGCATTTGTAATTATTGTATTTTAACGCGAATGATGACTGAAAGAAAGAAAATGAAATGTTGTTGTGAGAAATGTGTAAGCGTATTCAAATTTAACTAATTTACCAAAGTCTATAAACGATTGGTTTTTCTAATGAACGTCGTAACATTGAAAATTATACAAAGAATCACTTGGCAAATTGGCCTGCAAACAGAATTGTGTTCAAGTTCTTAACAATTGCAAATAGGAATGGTTGGTCAGCAATGAATGGCCTAGGTACTGCAAATATGAGAGGTACTAAATCAAGCATCGTGGCAGCAGCTGACTCGGTTCCTTTTTCATTTACCTGTAAGTGAATAACCAAAATCTATGGTTTTTTAGCAAGCAGTGATTAAAAAGATTACATTATATTCTTATTTAGCGAGAATTTTCACAAACCTCAATGAAGCCTCTATGCATGATGTTGCCTACAGAGATTGCATCATTAGTAAGCTCTCTGAAATTAGCTGTTTCACTGATAGCATCTTCAATACCAATTTTTTGTAGAGTTTCTTTCAAATCCATTTTCCCTTCCAAACGGAATTTCGGTAATTTTAGCTGAAAGCCGAAGAACATTAAATCGATAACAATAAAACTGTAAAATTACAAATCGATTAGCATATCGGAAAAAGCAAATGACAATGTTTTACCGACACATCGTTTGGTGTAGCTGAAGAAATATATGAAAGTAGATCTCGACCCGTTAAATTTCTCAGAACATTTTGCAAGCCAAAGCGTATTTTTGGCAATATGAAGACCATTTCCACTTCTTCACCAATATAAGGCAATTTGATAACTTGCACAGAATGGTCCTCATAGTACGGGAATTCCGATTGTAATGTCATCATTGACACCTAGGAAGATAGAAATGATAGAGAGAAAGCACAGACAAATTCATTCAACATGAAATGAGTTTTGAAAGAAACAGCTTGCCGCTTCAAATTTTGACATTCCAGAAGATACTCACATTTTTCGTTTCGTGCTGAGAAATATGAAATATTTCATCATGAGTATTCATGTCATCAAACTGTGTCTCCCAAGTACCACTGAAGTATATTGCATTTAGTAGCAACATTTTAGTGTTCTTATTGATATCGCCTGCTGTTATTAACTCTGTTATTTTACGATTAGTCTTTTGCGATACCCAATTGTTGATTTCCTGGAAGAGAACTTTACTGCTGTCATTTACAATAATCAAAGACAATAATTCTTTAAACAATTGGAATTGCTGAATCTAAGAAATAGAACCATTTAAGAGATAGTAGCTACCATTGTGTCATTTTTCCTTTCTGATTACATCTTTCTCTACTCATTTAATCTTTGTTTTTATCATAGATCAAACCTGAGCAACTTGTTGACTCTGTTCGTTACTGAAACTATGTAATGTTTCACCATAATAAAATCTAAGTACTCTGGCAAAGCTTTCCTTTACAGAAAATCCTTGCTGTACGTAAAAACGATTTGCTATATTCAGTGTGTAGTTTTCGTTTTTTCTCGCATCAATAACTGCCAGCAAATGGGCAAAATATTTTCGAACTTCTGCTTTTTTTGCAGCTGAAATGTTTTATTTGTGTAACTTTCCAAAATTTGTTAATTATAGCACTGGAATTCTAATGCAGTTAACATTTCTGTATAAAGCAAGTTTTCAATGAAATTTCAAAAATTACTTCCTCCAAGAACATTTTGCAGTTGTTGCTTTGTTTCTTCATCTGCTGCGAGATAAATCATAAAAAGTGCGGTTGACACGGAAAGAGGAGATAATATGGCAGATTTACCACCTTGTCCTATTTCTTTCAACAAGCTGACCGCAAAGTTAAATTGTGCATAGTCAATCGAAGAACTGAAAAAGACTGTTAAAAAGAGACGTGAAAGAAATTGGAATTGAAAACATAACCAAGAAAGTGTTATTGTTGATTGTAAGATACTAATAATGACAAATCAGCTATGGCTATTTATTTGCTTTTAAAATATTAGCTGGTCAGAAAATTTTCGACGTACATTTTTCCAAATATTAATGCAAATTGAACGTTCGCAAATAGAAATAATGCGGAGATAATTACACAATTCATCTTTCTAAAATACAAATATAATATAGAATTAGCTCATAGTCGAATATATATATATATATCGCCGGCCCCACAGTCCAAATTTACTTGCCCACCTATCTAAAATGGTTTGTAAAAATCTAAGCTGGCTAAATGAAATGACTGAGCTACAAAGTATTTATATTACTGAGTGGTTTATATCAAAATAAACATGCTGTTTCCTAACATGTTTATTTTGAGACATGAAAAAAGAAAAAAAAAAAAAAAAAAAAAGAAATAATGGGTAATAATATTAAGCAAGTAATTATATTCGAGTAAATTAATAACAATATTTGTCATTTCTGCTGCGGTAAAAGCATATCTTTGGACTCCCACTAGATACACGATAGATAGTTGCATAGATAGTTGCACCTGAAGAAAGTGTGAATGAATTATACTCAAACTTACGCTTGACATTATTTCAATTAACATAATGTAAATTGATTAATTTAAACATTAACCTTGTTTAATCAGAACTAAAGAAATTCATTCAGTACGAATTTAAAGCCTGACCTATAGGAATGAAAGCATAATTCAGCAGAAAAGATGAAAAAAATGAATTTTTCCTAGAAATTTAAAATTAATTCTCATATTTGTAAATATTTTCAAATTATAATATTAAAAAGTTGAAAGATCAAATTTCGTTAGCATATGTTTTCAGCGATGAAAAGAAATGATTATACAATGATAGAAGTATGAAATTAACATTTTGATTGTTAACAAAATATTTCTGATAAGATATGAAGAAGACACTGTTTCATTCCACAACTCATTGTATCAACGGTACTATACATCAGTGATGTTTACAAGTTTTGTATTCAAGAATTGCTGCTGAAAAACAAAAAATGTATATTTGAAATAATCTAATAAGGAAAATTGACGTTTTACATTATGTTATCAAAGAATAGCAATATTCATTGTTTTGTTAGCAGGAATTTGTGATTTCTTCGTAGATTTAATACAAATTAAGAATTAAACAGAGAATTGCTTGCAGCTTGAAACATTTTATTGGATGTGAAACTTAGGGAAAACTTTTCAAATTTTTTGAAAAAATGAAATTACATGGCAAATATTTAGAAGTTTTGATAGATAATCAAATTTTTATGAGCAACAACAGTAATGAAATAATTTTGTCTCATGTAAATTTTTGCCTGAGATACTGCGTTTATCAAGAGTTGAAAAAAATGTAGTGCAAAAATCTTTTCCAATAATAATGAATGATTTGACCAGAAAACAATCTTTGGTAATGTCTGCACAAGTGAATGGTACGATAAAAAAAAAACAAATAAATGCATTCACTCACTTTCAGTCTGCAAAATGTATATGTAACCTTAAAGGGTAGAGATATGAAATATAAGAGTAAATAGTTGCGAGTTGAAAATAACAAGCAAACATCGATAATTTACTTAACTCAGTGATATAAATAATTTCCAGTTTACTGACACCACACTTTGCTGGCTTGTGTAGTTCCAATCTATTTTAGATGGTAGAAATGAAGCTGGACCACGGAGCAGCAATTCTTGCTTTATATATTCGATTATGAGCTAATTCCAAGCTTTCATAATTAAATTTACGGGATTCGAGAGCATTATTTGTGTTCCATTATTTCAGCAGGTTGAGTACTAGATTAGTATTTCAGAAAGATGAATTATGCAATCATCACCGCATTACTTCTATTTGCAAGCATTCAGTTTGTATCGATATTTGGAGAACTGTACGTAGAAAAATTAAAGCTTTCCTAAAGACATTTCACAGTAATGAAATAATTAAGCTATTGTTAGTGTCTAACCATCATCAATGATACTTTTTTTTAGTACATTTCCAAACTCAGAATTTTTATTTCTCATCATTAACGATCTTTTTTTAGTTCATTGCTAGATCATGCGCTGTTTAACTTTACGGTGAGCTTAATGCAAAAAATAGCGAAGGACGATAAATCAGCCATTCTATCTCCTCTTTCTGTGTCAACTTCACTGTTTATGGTTTACCTCGCAGCGGATGGCAAAACGAAGGAGCAATTGCAGAAAATTCTTGGTGGAAGTAACTATAGAGTGAAAATATTTGAATTTAAGATTTTTTTTCTTATGAGTTGTATTTTATTACCAAAGCAGCGAAGGTTTCAGTAGCCTAAAATGTTATGATTGGAAGAATATATTATATTTCAGAAATAAAATGATTTTGACTAATTTTAATTTTCAGCTTCAAGGACATCTGATCTTCGACAATACTTCGCTAATCAAATAGCTGATAGCGCAAACATAAAAAGACAAAAAATACAAGTTGAATGTAGCAAATCGTTTTTGCATAAGGGAGGATTTTCTGTAAAAGACAGCTTCAAAAGAATGCTCCGAATGTATTACAACGAAACAATGCATGAATTCAATTTTGAGAAGAGGAAGGAATTTGTTAAGGTATGTTCATTGACGAAATGCAAAAATGATATGAAGATGGAGAAGTGAGGCTGAAATAATATATATGTACTAGATTAAATCTACACGAAACCAATTAATGAATTTGCAACGAACGAAATAACCAAACACTGCGCTAATGTTCAATTTTAATATATTTTTAGGAAATCAATAAATGGATTTCGCGTAAAACAAACAAGAAAATTAAAGATTTAATAAAAGAGGACAGTATCAACAAGGATACAAATATTTTGCTCATGAATGCAATTTACTTCAAAGCCACTTGGAAAAACAATTCATGAAGACTTTGACCAAAGAAAAAGAATTTCACATTTCTGAAAACGAAATGAAACGAGTAAATATGTTAATTAGCAGCCTCTAATTTATTTTAGAATGCTTACACATTGAATAAATAAATACATGTGCACTTTTTCATCACCATTTCTTTTCGTTCAGATACCGATGATGATGAATAACATTGAATTGCTTTATTACGAAGACAATCTTGTGCAAGTTATCAAACTACCTTATACTCACCCTAAAATAGAAATGGTTTTCATACTGCCAAAAGCACGCTTCGGCTTATCTGATGTTCTAGCAAAATTAACGGGTGAAGATCTATTCAAATATATTAATGATGCAAAAAAAAACTACGTTACCGTAAGTGATTCATTTAATTGTAATTAACTTCGCTAAACAAATTAGTGCATAAAATTATGGGTGACAAAAAAAAAAAAGCATTTCCAATGGATTTGTTGCTTATTTTTGCTTGCTACTTTTATTTTATTCCGTTCTTTCTGTCAATTCAGAGTTACTTCAGGTCATTATACCAAAATTTCAAGTGAAAGAAAAATTAGATCTGAAAGAAGCTCTACAAAAAATTGGCATCACAGATGTTTTCAGTGGAACAGGCAGTTTTGGAGAGCTAGTAAATAATACAGTTTCAGTTTCTATTGGCAAAGTTATGCATGCAGGCTTCATTGAGGTTAATGTGAACTTTCTTTTAATGGGAAATTAACAATCGTTTCTTTCTGAATATTTTGAAATTTTTTGGAAACTGTAAATTTTATTCTTTACCTTACAGATAGATGAAAAAGGAACGGAATCAACGGCTGCTACAGTAGTTGATTTAATAGATCGTATGGGTACGCAGCGTCGTTTTGTTGCTGATCATCCATTCCTCTTTGCAATTGTTGACAATTTGAAGACTGTTCTATTCATAGGTCAATATGTGAAATGATCCTCTGAATAATACTTTGAATTGCAAGCTTTGCAAAATGTTGACATTTGATGCGACTTGATTTTTTTACAATAAATCTATTAAGAAATAGGTGTGCACATGTTGACAGCCTTATTAATAATTTCAAATTCTCCTTCAGTCCAAATTTTAGTCGCAAAAAAAAAAAAACATGCATAATTTATTGGGCATGAAGACATTAAGAAAATGTTATTTCATCAATTACTGTCTGGAGTTTGTGTTTTCTTATCAATTCTCTAACTTCATTTTTTAATCCTCCTTGTTATCTACAACATACAGCTTGTGACAAAATGATGTTGACAAGATTCTGAACTGTACACTGTAGTGGGATTTTCACGCAAGAAGTTTGTGATTCTGTTACTTTCTCCCATTTAAATGAGCCTTTCGTATTACCCCGGAATAAGCAAATTGAAATTCTTGAATGGTGATAAGTTTCAAGAAATGTAATATTATAATTGGTAGTACAAAAGTTAGTGGATAACATTTAGTAATCTCGAGTAATTCTTCTGTTCATGCCTTTGCACCATGATATCAGAAAATACAATCTTTATCAAAATTGGATTCATCCAATTTTTTTTTTCACCCATAATGAAAATTTATTAACCAATTAGCAATGCAATACGGTGTAAAGGTTGAAACAAAGGATAATAAAATATTAGTCAGTTGATCCAATAAACAAAAAAATGTTATTTGATTGTAAATAAAAGCCATTTAGGAAAACATGAGTAGTTGTTGGTTATAAAATTTCATCACAATCCAGTTTATATTGCATCACATAGCATTTCTTTCATGTTAGCCTATTAAAATTCTCAAATATTGACCATATAATTTCACTTTTACTTGAGCTTCATATTTAATTGCTGTCATATATGTTACTACATCAACAAATAAATTATAAAAACTAACTAACGAAACAATGAATATTGCAACATGATGTGAAACGTCAATTTTGCTCACTCAATTATTTCAACTAAGCAGTTATATGCCTTTCCTTGATTGCCAAACCTTGGGTTTTTCTTGGATTTAAGTATTATAAACACTACTGAAACACGTACATGTGTAGATTGTTATCTTAAAAAAAATTTGATTATTTGAATAACTTTATGGTAATTTGAATAATATTATGATAATTTAATTTAACATGATGACAATTTGAAAATATTTGTAATTATGAGAATTTAATCTCCAGGTGCGACAAATGATAATTAGAAAATGCTATGGAATAGATTTACTTAAACACTGAATTGGATCAAATGCAATTTTACTCAAGCACATATCTATCTCTAAACGCTGAAATAATAGTTTGTTTTCTTATTTATTAGTTATGGCTAATCAATATTCTAATTAATATCATATTATTTCTCTTCGTTGTTTTTACTTTCCCACTTTGTTGGTGACATTAACCATTTGCTTATCTTTGTCCAGAGATATGAATAAACAGGAAATAATACTAAGATTTGCAGAAAATAAACGAGTTGTTAGAAGTAATTTATTAATTCAGTAACATAAGTGAAATGTATAAATCGAAATGCTTAGGATTTAAATAAGAAACAACGTTTGATACAGCGAATTTTTTGAATCATTCGTAAAACTTATATGCTCATTTGTTTTCTTGCAACATTCACCAGCAAACAGAACATCTTGAGACTTCCTAATAACAAAAAACAGGAATGGATGATTAGCATTGAACACAGTACTGTACGGAAATATGAAACTTGGAGAATTGAATCCAGTTTCCTTCGTAGATTCCGTCCCTTTTTCATTTACCTGTAAAAATTCGACGGTAAATAAAACCCAATAGTTTCTAGGCATGCAAATTTTTGAACCAAAAAATTGACATCGAACAAACCCCAAATGAAGTTTTGTGTATAATATTGTTAATAGAAACTGAATTGTCACTAAGTGCATTGAAGTTAGCTTTTTTACTGAAAATATATGTGATGCCAATCTTTTTCAAAACATCCTCCAAATCCAACTTTTGTTGCAATTCGAACTTTGGTAATTTTAACTGAAAAAACAAATTAGATTCATTAACATCTATTTTCGTCGTGATAAGTTTTTCTCGTTCCTGAAATATTTACTTTGAACTGACAAATTATCTACTAAGAGGTTCTCAAAATGTTTAAAATACAAGAATTTCAGCTAATGAAACACATTTATAGGAATTAATTTGACAAGGAAGAAATTTTTTCACGCTGATCACTTTGAAATTGCTTTATTTGCTGCAAGTGCTTACTTTACGAGTTTTTTCGGACAAATGGCAACTCAGAATTGATTCCTTATCATAACACATCATTCCGTATGATTTCTCGTAATTTGTTTGAAAAAAGAAAAAATAGTAATTTACCTCTACTTTAGTTGGCACAGCATTTTCAATGTACCGTCTTAAATCCCTTCCTGTCATCTCTTCGCGAACCTTATATAATCCAGAACGAGCTTTTGGCAATATGATTACCATTTCTACTTTATCCCCGACATAAGGAAGCTTGACTACTTGCACAAATTTGTCTTCGTAATACTTCAGTACTGCATTTAATTGCATCATTGGCATCTGAAGACGATGTAATCGCTTAACATACAAATATATTTGGAACAAACAATAAATGCAGAAAAGAAAAAAAAAGATTGATAGATTGTTCTAATTCTAATATTCAACAAAACATTTACCATAATCTTTTTGCTTTTAGAAACTTGAAACATTTCATTCTGAGTTTTATCGGTGAAGAACGGTTTCCTCCAAACAGCCTCAAAGTGAATTGTGTTCAGCAGTAGCATTTTGGTTTTTTGTGAATTAATTTTGGTCGTTTCCATCAAGTCCACAATCCTATTGTTAGTGTTTTTCGAAGCCCATCTATTAATTCCCTGAAAAAAAGAATTATGTTGCGGCACTTAATCGAAAATCGCAGATCAGATGAACAAAATTGAATTTTCTGGAAATAGCAATAGGAATAAATAAATTTAAAAAACAACAATAACAACAACTATCTTATCCCTTCTTCATATTCATTTTTACTTTTTATCATTAATCATGCCTTAATAAGTTGACCACTTCGTCCATCATTGAATCTATGTAACGTTTCGCCAAAATAAAATTGAAATATATGGGGAATGCTCGGCTTTATTGAAAATTCTTTTGGTACATATAAACGATTTGCTATATTTAGCATATAACTTTTACTCTTTGTACCATCGCTACTTGCCAATAATTTACCATAATATTCCTGAATTTGTGTTTTCCTTGCATCTAAAAGAATCAGTTAAATATTTATGAAATTTGATCAATATGGCATTTTTAGTGCCAAGCAGAAACTTTCCAATGACCTAAAAGTAGATTAAACTGCTCGGTTAAAGTATCCTTCAAAATTGTAATTACTTCTTCCAAGAATTTCCGACAATTTTTGCTTGGTTTCACCATCAGCTGCGAGATAAAGCATAAAGAGTGCGGTTGATATTGAAGCAGGGGATGAAATCGTTGATTCATCGTTCTGTGCTATTTCTTTTATCAAATCAACAGCGAAGTCGAACTGCGCAGTGTCCGTCGACGAACTGGAAAAGTTTATTGAAGAAAAAATTTAAGAGCGTTAAAATTAAAAATATAACAAAAAAAAAAAAGTGTTTTTGTTGATGGTAAGATGCTAGCAATGACATCATTAGCAACAGCTATTTGAATAGTTTGTTCAAAAAATATTTGTTATTTCAGAAATTTTTAGTTCTCCAACGTACATTTCTCCAAATATCAGTACAAATTGAAAACTCGCAAAAAGAAGCAGTGCAGCTGTGATTGTTTCATTGATCATCCTAAAATATCAATGAAGTGCCTAAATAAATATCTGAACATGAAATAATACAATATTATAGACAGAACCTATCATCGAATTTTCTACATCACCTAAATTGGTGTTTTCAAGGCTTAGGATCATTTGAGAATGGAAATTTATAGTGGTACCATTCATTCTCTTCCTACCTGTCGAAATGACGAGTACAACTGTGGTCTTTGGTTTTATTTATTAACTATCTGGAATGAATGATTATGAATTGTTAAGGTATCATTCGCAATCGATCATCAATGCTTGCAAATGTTGTATTCCTTTGTATATTTCAAATAAAATCTAGCTTAATTTATTTAGGCATACTACTTGCTTTTATATTTCCAAATTGCTCTAAAAATGTGCTTTCAATTTTGAAGCATCAAAAATCTGTTCTATTCACAGGTCGCAATTTTGCGAAATTCGACTCTTTTACAACATTCTAAATGCAACATCTTTTTTCGGCTACTTCCGTTAAATATATAATTTTTTCCCTTTTTCGTTTTTATTGATGATAATTGTTCTTTCTATTCAAAAGTTATAGTTTGCAAAAAGTCAACAAACTTTTGCTGATTCAGTTACAACATGTAACATTTGCCGTTTTCTATTACCAATTTGTAGTAATTCCATACCACATCCTCATTCCATTTCTTCAATGTTAAGCTGTTAAAACAAACATTAACCATACAATTTCACCCTTCCACAAACTTTAGACAAATTTTTGAAGAATTTTTTTTAAAGTTTTGGTTTAACATGATGTTTCAAGGGCAACTAATTTTCTTGTATTGTTACTACAAACTTAGTCTGTACTACATCCACAAATAAATTACTAACTAACATAACATATCAAGAAACTGGGTTATAACAAATTTCTATAAAATTTATAAGATTAAAGACTGTATTAGTTGAATGCTAAGCCAAGTATAAAACCAGACCCCACCAAGAAGCTATTTATCCAATTTGTCTTCTATTTTTAGCTGAGTCTCAATTTTATTGTTAAAGTGTTGTAATCTGATCACCAAATTAAATTTTACTTTCAGATCTTCGAGTCCGATGACCAAAATTGAAGACTTTTCCTTGAGCTTTATATTTCATATAATGTTTCATGCTGAAACTAATCCCTTTGTTTGTCATTGCAACTTAGTTCTTAATTTGCATTACATTTACTAATCACCA